CCACCAACCCTTGGCAGAGCTGGGATTACCAATGCCCATAATAATAACCACCAACCCTTCCTGCTAATATTGCCCCCAGGCCTTCCGCATGTATTAACTCATTCATTCCTCCTAAGAGTCCTATGAGGTAGGTATTAATACTTTTAGTCTTGCCCTAGCCAGTTTGGCTCAGTGGATAGAGCGTCAGCCTGTGGACTGAAGGGTCCCAGGTTGATTTTGGCCAAGGGCACATGCCTGGGTTGCGGGCTCGATCCCCAGTAGGGCGTGCAGGAGGCAGCCAATCAATGATTCTCTTATCATTGATGTTTCTATCTCTCTCGCCCTCTTCCTTCCTCTCTGAAATCAATAAAGAAATATATTTAAAAAATTTTTTAGTCTCAAGTTATGAGGTTAGGCAACTTGCCCAAGGCCACACAGCTAGAGCGCGACCGGAGCACAAGAGCTGGGATTTTAACTCCAGAGTCTCTGCTCTAAACCACCGCACTCGTCTGCTGCTTGGGGCCTGCTGGGAACAGACATACAGGTTTGCATGGGGACACCCACTCTCACACTCACATGCTCAGCCACGGCAGCTCCTGCCTGTACAGAGGGAGGTCCCCTGGGCGCTGGGAGTGAAGAGGGCCACAGGCACACTCCTCCTGGCCCCGACACCACCCTCTGACTGGCCATCTCAGGAGCCGTTCCTCTGGGAAAGGGAGGAGAAGACTTCCCCTCTCACAGCCCCCAGCGGCCAGGGAAGCTAACAGAATTTGATGTGTGGGTGTGAGAGAAATTGTTACGTGCAATAAAATACACAGTTGGCCCTAGAACAAAACAGGTTTGAACTGTGTGGGTCCACTTATACACAGAAAATTTTTTAAAAATACAGTTGGCCCTCTGTGTCCGCCTGTGGTTGTTTCCCTCTGTGGTTGGGTATCCGTGAATGCAGAGCCAACTGCATGCATTGTTCCACGTCGTTTTATCAGAGAGACTTGAGCATCTGCAGATTTCGGTATCTGCTGGGGGTGGGAGGGAGGCGTCCAGGAACCAGCCCCCTGCAGATCCTGAGGCACACAAGATTACACAATTCTTAATAATTCTAATAAGATCATTAGTTATCAAGTGCTGCATAACAAATGAACTGGAAACAGTGGCTTAAGAGGACAATAAGCATGTATGTCACAAACCATTTCTGTGGGTCTGGAGTTCAGGAGTAGCTTAGCGGGGTGGCTCAGGCTAAAATTTTTCGTGAAGTCCAGCCTGGATGGGGCCGGAGGACTCGCCTCCAGGATGGCTCACTGAAGTGCTCACTCAAGGTCATTATCGAAGAGCGGCAGTTCCTGTCCGTGGGCTACTTGGGGGTCCTCATGACCTGGTCGCTGCCTGCCCCCCGAGACTGGACAAGATGGAAGCTGCAGTGCCTTTTATAACCCAGCCTCAGACAAGACATTGTCTCGTTTCTACGCTATCCTGCCAGTTCCACAAGGAAGCCCATTCAGTGACAGGGTATCATTCAGGGCATGGGTGGCAGGAGGCACGGATCACTGGGGCCATCTTGGAGCTGTACCACAGAGAGAAAATTTTTCTTTCTTTTTGTTTTACTTTTAAATTGTGGTAAAATACAGATAACATAAAAGTTGCTGATTTAATTTTTTTAAAAAATATTTTTTAATGACTTCAGAGAGGAAGGGAGAGAGAGATAGAAATATCAATGATGAGAGAGAATCATTGATCAGCTGTCTCCTGCATGCCCCCCACTGGGGATCGAGCAACCTGGGCATGCCCTGACCGGGAATCAAACCATGACCTCCTGGTTCATAGATCCACATTCAACCACTGAGCCATGCCAGCTGGGCGAGTTCCCAGCATTTAAAACAATTGGCAGACAACATCAAAATGAAGATT